CTACTGACTTACCCAGGAGAGAGGCCGGTGGGTCCTGCAGACCCAGGGAAGCAGAGGGAGATGAGGGTGGGACCAAGCCTAGAGGGCTCCTGGGGACCTGGAGAAGGAACTCGGTCTGGATCCAAGGGATCAGGAAGCAGTGGTGGCCCAGCCCGAGAGGTCAGCCCTCGTGTCCAGGAAAGAGGCTTGCAGGCCATGCAGCCCAGGAAAGCAGAGCAATAACTAAAAAAAATTTTTAAAAGGGATGTTTGAGTCATCGACATTGAGAAATACAGGTATGTAGCAGACTAGATATGGGTGATCAACCCATTCTGCTCTAGCTAGATAACATCCAGTGATGAAAGCCTGAGAAATCATTCTCTGTAATGAGAAAACACCTTGTTTGTAGATGAGGAAATACTTTCTGGGACACAGTGTTAGCAACACACTGCCAGGTTTTGTGTCTTTAGTCCTTCTCCTCCACTTTCTCAGGAGTAGGAGAAAGACCGTCTTCTTCCTTTGACCTTGCTTCATTTATCATGCTATTTTACAGAAGTTTTTTTGTTGGTATCACAGTCTAGTTATGCTGGCTTATGGTTCCATCCAGGGCACTTGATTAGATAGATTTAGAAGATGCCTAAGGCTTTTTTGGACAGTTTGCTGTGTAGACTGGATTAGCCTTGAACTCTCTGTTCCTGCCTCCTTTGCCTCCTGAATACTGAAATTACTAGGTGGGTGTATATTACTAATTCTAAGAATTGTTTTGTTAAGCAGTACTGGGGATGAAACCCAGGGCCTAGTGAGTCCTGGGGAAGCACTCTGCCACTGAGCCCTCCTAAGGCTTTTAGTCACACATTATTGTAGAATCTTAGTCACAAATTCAAATGGCTTATCAATTTTTGTTTTTTTAATAGAAATTAGGACATTTTATTTGATTCTTTTTTTTTATGCTTATTGTATTAGTTACTTTTTGTTGCTGTGATAAAACACCATGACTAAGATGACTTATAGAGAGCAGAGTTTATTTGGCTTATGGTTCCAGAGGGATATGAACCTATCATGGTGAGGGAGGCATGTTGGCAGAGGTGGCCAGAGCAGAAATTTGAGCACTCACATCTTCAAGCAGGCATAGGAGCAGAGAGAAACTAGAAATCCAGCAAGGGTAAAGAATTCTCAGAGTTTGCCCCCAATGACATGCTTCCTCTAGCATGGCCACACCTCCTAAAGTTCCATGACCCACCCCAAACATGCCATGAACTGGGGGCCAAGTGTCCAAATATTGGAGCCCATGGGGGACACTCATTCAAACCACCACACTTACGATACCTCTTAGCCATCTATACAGTACATTTTGTAGATTTTGTTTTCTGTTTTATGTGTGATGTATGAATGTGTTTGTGTGAGTGTCTGTGGGTATCTGTGGAGGCCAAAGGACAACGTTGGGTGTCCTCATTCACTCTTCCACTGTTGAGATAGGCTCTGTCACTGAACCTGGAGCTCACTGATTTAGCTAGTCTGGCTGACCAGTGAGCTCCAGGAAGAGCTCCAGGAAGCTGCCTGTCCCTGCCTCCCCAGTGCTTGGATTACAGATGAATGCCACTGTACTCAGCTTTTTACATGGGTTCTGGAGATCCAAATTCAGGTCCTCATGCTTGTGTGGCAAGCACTTTACTAACCAAGCTATCTCCCTGGCCTTGACTATGTGTTTTGAGTTCTTGATGTTTCCCAATTGCATTCTCAGAGGATAACTTTTTTTTTTTTTTTTTTTTTGAGATAAGGTCTCCCTAGAGCCCCAGCTGGCCTAGAATTTGATAGATAGACCAGGCTGGCCTGGGTTTCACAGAGTTCCATCTGCCTCTGCCACTTGATTGATTGCTGAGATTTAAGGTGTGCACCACCATGCCCAGCCAGAGGATAACTTAGTAGTATCTAGTAGTATCTAGCTTTTAGTTGCTACTAGTACTAAAATTTGTAACTAATATTTGTTTACTATATGCCAGATGCTTTCCATGTGTTACTCTACTTAGTGTCTCTAATACCACATAAGGTATGTGCTGCTATTAAATTCATTTTGTAACACCTGTAAGTCTTAGCACCTTGAGAGGCTGAGTGGGGAGGTACTTGAGCACATAATTTCAAGACCACCTAGGCAACATGATGAGACCATCTCAAAAGAAAAGAGGTAAGAAGTACTCACTAAAAGATACCTCAGCTTTTATGTGACATTCAGAATTCAGACTTGTGATGCCTGGTTTGGTGTTATTAATTACTCAGCTCTACCTCTGGTAACCACCATGCAGGACTTACAAGAAAGTTTTTGTTGTTTTTTGAGACAGGGTCTCTTATATCCCAAGCTTGCCTTGAGCTTGCTGTATAGTTGAGGGTGACCTAGAACTTCTTTTTTGTTTTTGTTTTTTTTTTTTGAGACCAGGTCTCACTACCCCTAGCTAGCCTGGTACTTACTATGTAGACCAGGCTGGCCTTGAACTTACAGAGAGCCACCTGCCTCTGCCTGCTCACCCAGAGCTTCGTGTATACTAGGCAGGCACTCTACCAGCTAAGCTGCATCCCCAGCCTTACGAGAAAGTTTTAGGGTAGAATAGGGGGGACGTTGATTGTGGGGGTGAGAGGAGGTGAGACATAAAGGATGACTGGGGTTTTTTTAGCATCTAGAATGCAGTGTGTAATATCCTCACCCCAAAAGCAGCCTAGGTAGAAGCAGGCCTGCTGAAGGAAGGCAAATCAAATGGACTGGCTTTTAGAAATTTTGTCTTTTAAGACAAAGCACACAGTAACCTTAGTAGAGAAATAGGGATTCAAATGTAGTTTTGTTTGTGACTCTTGAAGACTAGGTGATCGAAGTATTGGAGCTGGGAGAGAATTTTCCTGAGTTCACAGGACCAGAAATGAGGCCCAGAAGCCCATCTTTTTTTTTTTTAATTGTATATGTATCATGTGTATGTGTGTCTGTATATCTGTTTATGTGGGTGGGTCTGTGTTTGTGTATGTGTGGGCACATGCATGCCATGACATACATGTAGAGGTCATAGGACGTTGTAGTTTGTTTCTCCATTGCTGTAACAAAACACTGACCAGTACCAACTTGGGGAGAAAACGGTTTATTTGGCTTCCATCTCCTGGGTCACAGTTCATCGGGGAGCTCAAGGTAGGAACTCAGGACAGGAACCTGGAGGCAGGAGCTGGAACACAGGCCATGGAGGAATGCTGCTTACTGGCTTGATTCCTGGCCCCTGCTCAGCCTGCTCTCTTATACAACACAGAACAACCTGCCCAGGGGTGGCATTGCCCACAGTGGACTGGGCCTTCCCTCATCACTCAAAATTCAAGAAAATACCCCACAGACATGGCTATAGGCCAGTCCAGTAAAGCAAATTCCCCAGTTGAGGCTCCCTCAACCCAGGCATGTCAAGCTGACAACTAAAGCTATCTAGCACAGAGGATAAGCCTAGGTGTTGGTCTTCACCTTCTACCTTGTTGGAAACAGGGTCTCTTCATAGTTTGCTGTTGTATATGCCAGGCAGTTCGACCTGAAGCTTCCCAGGATTCTCCTGTCTTCTGCCTCCCATCTCACAGTAGGAGTGCCAGGATTACACGTGCATACTACCACACCCAGCTTTTATGTGGGTTCTAGGAATTGAAACTCAGGTCCTCATACTTGCTTATCAAGCACTGTACCCACTGAGCCATCTCCCCAGGCCCCAGGTTGCTATCTTGGGGAACTTAAGGCAGGTATACGAAAAGAAGCCTGTGAAGAAGATGCGGGTCAACATCGAATTAGGGAGGCAGAGGAAGAAGGGAAACATTGGTCCTCAGGTATTGCATGCTGAGTGGCTTATTTTTAGCATGGGTCTATTAGCTAATGGGATGGATTTAAGGATAGTGAGGCTTAGTCTTAATAGCTTGAAAATCACCTTTGTACTGTGCAGTGTGCTAGCCACAGGGTTTATTTTATGTGTATGCGTGTTATGCCTGCATGTAATTGCACCCATGTCGTGCGATGCCAGCGGAGGACAGAAGAGGCTGTCAGATCCCCTGGAACTGGAATTATGGACAGTTGTTAGCTGCCATATGGGTGCTGGGATTCGAACCCGGGTCTTCTGCAAGAGCAGTCAGTGTTCTTAACTGCTGAGCCATCTCTCTAGCCCCTTCCCACAAAGCTTTAACTTAGTATCTGGGAATCCGCTCTTGCCTTTCCCAGCAGAAGGTGACTCATATGCCACCTTCCATCTTGTAAGACTTGGGTTAAGAGGAGGTGTTTATTTGTACCATTTGGTCTTCTTCCTAATCCGTGTTTTTTTCTTCTTCTTTTTTCTTTTTTTCTTTTTTCCCAAGCATCTCATAATATCTGAATTCTTATCTAATGTGTCCCTTGCTTTATTTCTAGCATCTGGAATATTATATAGTATATGTTTGATATATATTGATGACTTGAAACAAAAAAGTTAGAATTGGAGTATATTGTTAATTGTGAAATTCTGGTTTTTTGAATCATTAGTTATAAAGGTAAACTTTTCATTTGTATGTAAGCATTCTGAATTATCTTTAAGAACAGAAGCAAATTATATATGGGAGAGAAACTAATGAAGTCCCACTTCCTTTTATATATATTATGAAGATTTTATTTAGAGATTCTCCAAGAAACTGAAAGGGTTTAGAATCAATAATTGGTTTTCTTTATGAATCAGAAGAACAAAATTCTTGTGGAAACTAAGAACTTTCTTGTCTTAAACAAATTAACTCTTGTCAGAAATAAAGGAATTGTTTGAATCCTGGGAAAGATCAAATTGCTGGGTAAATACCCTTTTTCCTTTCCTCAGTGAGAGCACTGAAAAGTATTTTAACATGGTGATATCTGTTAGTCGTGAACTCAGAAATGTGGGTCTCAGCTGCCTCATTTTTCCTATTTCAGTGATAATGCTAATCCTCTAAGTTAGGAAAGTGCCCTTATGAGAGTTCTGTTGATGACAGTTGGTTTGCTTTACTCTAACATGGTTTTGCAGATCATCATCAAGTCTATGGGCTGGAATCTTGTTGGTCCTGTTGTTCGATGCCTTTTGAAGAATGAAGAAGAAGATAAAAGAAAAAACTACTTTCTGACACTTGATATATTGGTAAAGGTAAGTTCATCAAACTAAGTTCTGTTTGTCATAATGCACAGCAGTATAAAATTCCCGTTAATGTTAAATTCTTGTTCTTTGATAAGAAATTTTATGGTTTATGAAATCACCAATGAGAACTCTCTTAAGTAATGTTCACTCTTACTTGATTAGATGGGAAATTCCATTTTACCATTTCTCGAATTTTCTGGATATAAGAATTATATAATCTGAGATGTACAAACTTAGAATTTCCAGGAAGAGACTTGTAAATCTGTATATAGACTTGTAAATCTACTATATAGATGAAGAATTCAGTGTTTAGAAAGCTAGTTCAATGCCATACTGACCTTTTTGCAATGTTGGAACTGGAATCAAGTATCGGTGCCCCTGGAGACATGAAAGCATAAAGGAGATTTTTGAGGGGTGGGTGGAGGACACAAGGGGTTGGGGCAAGAGACTCAGGAGAGGAATGGGGAGGAGAATCAACAAAAACAAATTTTGTTTGAAAATGCCATAATAAAGCCTAATTCTGTGTGTGCTAAGAAAAAAGTCATTGTTCTTTCCTCTGTCCAATTTTTTATTTTCTTTCATAAAAGAATGTGAAAAACCTAGAGTGGAAGTGACCACAATGGAAGTATGGACAGGAAGTAGGAACACAGGGAAACCATTGGTAAAAGGCTACTACAGGTGCTGGGCGTAGTGGTACATGCCTTTAATCCCAGCACTTGGGAGGCAGAGGCAGGTGGATCTTTGTAAGTTCAAGGCCAGCCTGGTCTACATAGTGAGTTCCAGGACAGCTGGGGCTACAGGGAGACCCTGTCTCAAAAGGCCAAAAAAAAAAAAAAAAAAGGCTACTACAGTTACATAAGTCAATATTTGATGGCTAAGAAAGGTAAATCCCGAGGAAAAAAAGACATTATAGGAAACTACTTGAGGTCAGTGAAAACTTAACAAATGTGTAGGTAAAAAGAGGAAGTTCCTTCTAGGTAAGAGTTGTTGATCATGAGTGCTTTTTAAAGATATGGCTCTGAGCTGGGATATGTCTCTGGTATAAGTGCTCACCTAGCAGGTAGGTGTAAGACCCTGGGTCTGATGCATTCTAAAAAGAAAAAAGGTAAGATATGGCTGGTCAGAAAGCAAAGTTTTATCTGTTCAGAATCTATAAAAGACTTACTCTGTTAAATACTCAGGCAACATGGGGTAAGAGGGCCACCTGGGGAAGTCTAGGGAGTCTAAAGTCACAAACAGATGCCCAGGTTTGAATGACGCTCAGAACTTGAGCTCTGAAGATCAGGTTTTCCCTCCCTGACTGTTCTAACGTTTCCTTTTAACGATTGTATAAGGCATTTTATAGTTAAAGGAAAATAGTTGTATTTTCCCAATATAAGCCTTCTTTTAAATAGTAATCATGTGGCTTTAAATACAACTTGTATTAACAGGTTCAATTGTGAATATTTTTATAGTTATGTAATCCAAAGGAATTGTTGTTGGGTTTGCTCGAACTGATTGAAGAGCCCTCTGGAAAGCAGATAGCCCAAATTATTCTTCTTTTACTTCAACCATTACAGACAGGTAATGAGCATTTTGATATCCAAGTATTTCTTGTTTCATTTGCATAAGTACCTTGATGTTTACCCCCAAATGTGAACATGCTACTAAAGTTTAAATTAAGTACTCTGTTTTCACACTAGTCACTGCAGTGCCAGTTTCAGTCCTACTGTATACCCTGCAGAGTGGTTACTCAGTAAATACTTTGCTGTATGTCATAGTATTTTTCATTTTTCATGTGCATAACTTTTTGGTTAGCTTTCTTTTTTTTTTTTTTTTTTTTTTGGTCTTTTTGAGGCAGGGTCTCCCTGTAGCCTCCGCTTTCCTAGAACTCACTATGTAGACCAGGCTGGCCTTGAACTCACAGAGGTCTGCCTGCCTCTGCCTCTACCTCCCAAGTGCTGGGATTAAAGGTGTGTACCACTATGCCCAGCTTGGTTAGCTTTCTTATCTACAGTTTATACCTAGAGTTTTCTCTCTAAATATATTTAACTGGTTGACTATGGTATCTGCAGCACTCTGTCTCTTAGCATTGTGGCAGTTCCATGTTTTGGTTATAAAGACCATTAGGCAGGGCATTGCTCAGCCTCTGATTTGGGGTGTTGGAACCAAGAATAGGAGAGGTGCCTATAGAGAGTGAAATAGGAAGGCACACAGAGTGGTAGGCTCTGGTGGCTTTGTATTGGCAAAGAGTGGGTCTGGCCATCAAGACAGACATTTTTCCAATAGAAGAAGTTATTTTTATTTTAGAAAAGACAAATTTTTTTTCAGAATGTGATAGAGGGACCTAGAATCAGAAATTATAATAAATTCATTTTAAATATAAATGCTCACCAGCTTTCCACCATTTCAAATATTCAACATCTTCTAAGGGAAGAAACTAATAATACTCTCTTCCATTTATACAGTGCTTTATAATTTCCCATTCATATTTTGTGCTGACAACCAGAAAGTATGGAATATAACCAGTTATGAACAACTGTATTTGTTTCTTTTCTTATTGCTGGACCCAAATGCCTGACAAGAAGCAATTAAGGGAGGAAGGGCTAATGTTGGCTTCAAGGGTATACAGACCATCATGGCGGGGGAGGCATGGTGGCAGGAACATGAAGTAGCTGGTCATACTGTAGCCAATGGCAGAGTGCAGAGACCAGTTAGATGAGAACAGGATGTGAAACCTAAAGGTTTGGCTTTAGCACCCCACTTCCTTCAGCAAGATTCCACCTCCCAAGGAGTCAACAACGTTCTGAACACTGAACTTCTTGTCCTATTGTAAGATACTTGATAAGGCTACCATAAATAACAACTTGGTCTCTTTTGCAGTGATTCAGAAACTTCCTAACAACAAGGCCTATTCAGTTGGATTAGCCTTGTCTACACTTTGGAGTCAGCTATCTCTTCTTCCTGTTCCATACTCAAAAGAACAAATACAGGCAGATGACTATGGCCTTTGTCAGTGTTGCAAGGCCTTAATAGAATTCATGAAACCTTTTGTGGAAGAAGTAACTGATGATAAAGAAAACAAAGAAAATGAAAAGCTAAAGGATGAATTACTGAAATTGTAAGTATATTTTTTAAGAGCATCTCATGACCAAGTTAATTGATAGCACAGATAACTTATGTTTCTTGTTTGTTCGCCATGTAAATATAAGTCTAATTTCAGATTTTGAATTTTAGAATATAAGGTTGAGCTGATATAGCATGGTTATTTAATGAGGCATGTATATTTTAAAATCAAGTATTTTATTGATATAATGAGGCACTGACAGCATAAAGCCAAATCCTTCACTTAATTTTTTTTTATTTTATGTATATGAGTGTTTTGCCTGAATGTATGTGAGTGCACCCGAGTTATACAATGCCTGCGGAGGCCAGAAGAAGGCGTTGGATCCCCTGGAACTAGAATTACAGATGGTTGTTAGACAACATGTGGGTGCTGGGACTCGAACCTGGGTCCGCTGCACGAGCAGCCGGTGCTCTTAACCAATGAGTCATCTCTCCAGCCCCCACTTAATTTACTTTGTATTCTATGTATTTTACCCTTCACAGTAAGTAAAAGGTGAAAGTAGAAGAAATGGAAACATTTAACTCAAGGAATTTACTCTGTTTGTGGGAAATTGTATTTGAAAACAGCAGAAGAACCACCAGACAGTTGAACATCTACCCTGACCACAAATACAGACAAGTACTTGCCACTAGCTTTCACACCATGGGTACTGAGAACTAAACATGTACTGTTCAATATGGCTGCTAAGCACTTGCATATGGATGGTCCAAAATGGATGTGCTGTCGGTATAAAATAGCTTCTAGACTTTGAGGACTAGATAGTTTAAAAAAAAAGAAAAGAAAAGAAAGGAAGGAAGGAGGGAGGGAGAGAGAGAGAGAAGGAAGGAAGGAGAGAGAGAAAGAAAGAAAGAAAGAAAGAAAGAAAGAAAGAAAGAAAGAAAGAAAGAAAGAAAGAAAGAAAGAGGAAGGAACCACACA